CGAGCGGCGAGATGACAAGCTGCACTTACCCTGAGAAGAGCATGGCTGACCGATGGGATTATAGACATCGCCGGCAGCGGAGGTGGCAGCGACGAGCAAGGCAAGAGCGGTAGATGGGTAGAATTGCATCGCGAGATGGTTGGATCCGGACTGCTCGGTAAGGCTGGGTTGGGAAGGCGAATCGTTGCTCTGGCTCACCAGAAGTAGCCATCGCGGGCCTTTTGTGCATTACAGACATACCGCTGGTGACATCACCCCGACGTTGGACGGGACAGCATTGGAGATCGGTCCCGCTCATGGGACAGCGCATCAGTAGGTCCTATCCGGTATTAACTCACAGCGACAGCGCCCAACATCATGCCGGGAGCATCGCCGTTCATATGACGTTGGCTACATTTAATGTACTGCGATCTACTGACAGCAGCTGGCGCAACAGTGGATGTCTTGAAACATGTTGTACAAGCGTGGTTGGCCACACGAACCATTGACCTGTCGCGCACCGCCATAGCATCACCATCGCGTACCAATGCTGTCCGGGACTGCGTTCAAGACCGCGAAGACTCGTCACAAGCGACGACTTGCGTCGCCGAAATGGACATCGTCTAGCGGCGCAGCATTCTATTTTTCCTTGAACGGACCACTAAGGTAATAGTGTGATTGGTGACCCCGGTCTTCCTCGCTCCACTGATCCGCCCACACGAGCGGCAACCTTTCAGAGGTTTTAGAAACTCCGAGTCTCTGTATGGCATGCCGCCAAGGTTATCGAAAGTCAATGTGTTCGGCCCATGCCGGCTGCTGCTGGATGGCTCGTGGCGATTATGCAGATCAAGAGTCGTGTAAGCATGTGCATAGCAATTGAAAACGTTCTATTATGTAGATGTCGCCATGTCGTCTATGAAGGCTTACCAAGGGTCGTCGCTGAGGTGAGCGCCTGTTCACTTCGAGTAATATCCTAACGCAGTCCCGGACCCAAAGTGTCCAGCTTGCATCGTCAACCGCGGGCTGCCAGTGTGTGGACGGCGTATGTATCGATTCTGTTACTAACGCAATTCACTACAATCTTTCCGTGAAACATTGGCGATAGTGGCCACCTGCAATCGTTGGCTTTGTTTCATTTCTGCGAGATGCTCGAGGATTGGATCCGTGTCCACGAAGACCGGGAAGCATTCTGAACATACCTCAAGTGCAATAAGCTCCACTAGCGGTATACTCGCAGCAGTTCAAGCATGCGCAACCGGCAACATATACAAATGTGTCGGAAGGGCCGCACTCGTAGATGAACGCGTTACCACCGTTGAGGCTCGGTACGCCGTTGAAACAACCATAATCGCCTGTATGAAACAGGTTAAAACTAGCCTCAGGTTGACGAACGGTGTGATGATCAGCTGCACTTACCCTGGCCGGCGCAGGATTCGCCAATGGGGTTGCCCTGGCCGGCTACGGAACTCGCTGCGATGAGGAAGGCGAGGACGGCAGATGTGTAGAATTGCATGGTAAGATACTTGGACTGCTCGGTATGGCAGAGTGGAGAAGACCGCTGTTCATAGCCAGGAAGTAGCCATGACGAGCCTTTTTATACATCATAGGGCTGCGGTATACGATACGTACCGCTACTGAGCCAATAATCACGTTGCCTTCGGAAGGGACAACATTGAGACGCTGTGAAGTAAGCGCATCAGAGTTCCTGTCAGGTCCTGTCCGTCAAGTACTGACAGCAACATGCACGTTGACAGTAGCCAATATCTCGTGGGCAGGACCCCGAGACAATATCGGTCGCCCCTGCTGTGCCATGACCCACTGACCAGCACCTGGCACAATGAGCCAACTTCTGTTCAATATATACACAACCGTTCACACGAACCGTCTTCCTGCCGTGCACTTTTCAGCACTGATACCATCGCGTACGGCCGCGACGCGGCTCTGGACCACGTAGCTCCAAGACCACAAAGACGCGCGACAAAACAACGACAAACGGCTTCGTAGTGACAGGTTTCCTGTGCCAGTTCCGCGCTTGCGCACCTGATGGCAAGAAAAAACGCATCTTACGGAGGACGCGAGCGTGAAACGAACTCGTACACGTGTGAACAACATCCTGAACAGAGTCAGTACATGACGCAGGCGTACAGGTGGTGCATTGCTGACGATGATGAACGACCAATAGGCTTCATCCCACCCGCAAATGTGCTACTTATACCAAAGTTATGTCAATTAGCAGGTAGGGAAGCCAATGCTGCTGTCACTCACTTCGCAGAGAACGCCTGCCAGGATGCGTCCTTGCGATGGCCGGTTTGCCAGTGCAGGTCCTGTAGCGTCCACGTCGTTCCCTCGACGTGAAACACGAACACGAGTGGATACCTCTCTGTCAGTGTCAGAGTGATGGTCCGACACGATGGGTTTTGCTGAGATAGTCACATTGTGAGTCCGACATGCGCCCATCTCCTGCTCGTCCCGCGCTGCAGCCTCCATGCATAGAATCACTTTCCGACGGCGGCTGGCTGAACTACGATGCTGTTTCAGTTGGTGTGCTTCAGTAGTGCTCGCTACCCCATGGGGGTCATTGACGACAAACGTGGTGGTGCTGGTGAATACGCAGCCTATGAAGTTTTCCTTCGCACAGACGCTGTAGTAGTCCAACCGCCATCTATGAGTGTTTACACCCTTGAGGTGCTGTGTCGATACACATGGCAACGCCAGGCAGGACGGCATTGACGGTGCCTGAACAAGCCAACTGTCAGAGCGGCACAGTAGTAGTGTAATCGAACCGTGCGTACCGGGCAGAGCGAATTGACAGAATGGGCCCCTTAGTCTGGTTGCGTCTATCGCTGTCGACCTGTAAGCTAAATTTGCTGGAAGTGCACTGCTGGCGAGTCGTCGGTTGTCACAAATGCGTCAGATCCCGTTCCATAGCGGCAAACGACGCAACGTGAGTAGAAGAATGAGTAGTGCAATTATTTTAGGTTTGACACAAACTGTAAGTTCACTGTGAGGGCCTTGCGGCAAGACTATTGGCGATCGCATAACTGAAAGGTCCAATACTCGATTGCAAACTTGAAGTGATAGAAACAGCACGCTCGGATATCTGGACATAAGTCGCGGAAAAAACATCCTCGCACTGCATTAGGGGACCCGGAGTTTCTTCGTGACGTCTGCGTGCATTAGCACAAGCCGTCAAGTACCATAGCTCCGTCTGAAGTACGAGGAACTCGTTTACGCCAGCGAACAAAAGCGGCACCAACAGATATGTTGCCCCAAGCTATCAGTGACGGTAAATCACCAGAAAGAGAGGCCGAATGGCTTCGTTCTGTTCACATCATCTCACGTTAGAATACGTCATCTATCAGTGGCCTACAATATCTCACCTTGTACACTATGGGAGAGGAATATTGTATCAGCACGAGCAGAATCAGCGATCGCAACGAACTTACCAATGGCCTCGTCATAGTTCAGGTCTCCACCAGGCTCGCCGACGACAGAGTCGTAGCCTGCCGGGGGCTAGATACCGCGTTATGGCACGTTCAGATGACTAATGCGACACGATACTCACCGCAACGAGACTGTCGTCTCCGGAAGTCATCTTAATTGTCTTGCCCATGACTACGTCGCTGAGGAGCATTGCCTTGAGCGCTGACCCCCCACGCTCTTCAACGTAATCGTTCGCCTTCGACGATGTCGCGGAGGTGTATATCCCCTCGCCAAACCGGCCGAAGTTCGTGCGCTGGCCCGCCTTGGCGATGTGGAACGACGTCTGGAGCAATAGGCTCACTATCAGCACGCATTGTGCACGCGGGAGAGACCACGAACGCGAATGATACCACAGAGCGAGCAATGCGCACTGCGGCAGAGCTCCGGTTGGTCCTCGCTGTCACCGATGGTGCAGGCACGGATCGTCCCGTGCCACCGTCGCTTGCTATTCCCGCCAGCATAATTGGTCTTGCGCTCGATTGCAAGCTTGTACCGCGAGAATTCGTCGGTGTGGTCCTTGTCGCAGTAGATCTTCCATATCTGGTATGACGTGAGAGGTGGTCGCTCCGAATGCAATTACTTGCTTACCTTGACTACGGTCGGAACGGGTGTAGGGTGCTTCCACTGGTCCCTAAACTGCTTCGACACTGAAGATCGTAGGTTAGGTGATGATGTGAGATAATATCTCACGAGACGAACTTGCCCTCGCGGAAGATTGCCATGTTGTTGGTGATGATCAAAATTATAGGAGCTGTTGGCCATCGGTTCGATTGATCAGTCTCGGAGACAACAGGAGTGCTCCTTACCTGAGCCAAATGTGTCTTCGCTGCATCGCTTTGAGCAAAAGTCGCTTAGCTTCCCGTTGGTAGTCGCCTTGGGCCACTTCAGGCAACTGACGATGCACAGTGAGTCCTAATTCTACGATCTAGCAGAGGTGATAAATACAATAGGCATGCCTCCGCCTTTCCGAAACGAACGGCGTCACTGTATGACACATGGACTGTCAGTGCCGGTACTGCAGCATGTCTATGTTGAGGCCTTACCGCCGATGTGCGTTGGAGCAATAGTCGCTCAGCATACCGTCCTGTCCGACGAAGGTAGGCTGCTGACATGTCGGGAACTTGCAGACACGAGCAACGGGAGCGGGCAAAGTGTAACAAGACGGGTTACCGGACTTGCTACTGGGAGGGGTTCGGTCACTCAAGGTACGCTCACGTGACGGGTGATCAGTCCGTCTGGTTAGGTTCGGTAGAACGGGTGTGTATTACCAACTACGTTAACGTAACGAGAGGTAGTACAAGGGAAGCGCGCGAGAGAGGTAGAGAGAGAGAGAGTAGAGAGAGGAGAGAGGGAGAGACGTTTGGCCAGCAAAGCGTGTCGTCTCTCGAGAACTCTGTGGCCTTATATAACATTAGAGAATCACCTTAACGCTCGGCACAGCCTTTTGCGAGGCGATGTTCGTAGTTGCTGGATAGCTAGTGTAAGTTCCAGTGAGTTCTGCACAGTTCGAGATGAATGCAGAAGATGCATTCACGTGCGCAGTATTATACATGATGAGTCGTTACAATTACCCCCCTCGTAAAGAAGACGAGGTCTCCGAGTCAGAGGAAGGAAGGTAACGAGATGTCAACTAATCTCAATGTGTAAGGAGCGTGAGGCGTAACAAAGGTGCGCAATATTCAATGGAAAATTGATCGGAGAGAATCTCACCGACGGGACCTCAACCTTTCTCCATCCACCTTCTTGATAAGGTCTAGGAACGCGCCCGCGTTCCCGTGGTACTGCGGAGCGCAGACGCGCAACTCGTCAATCTCGTGCACGAAGAGGTAAGGGCGTCCTCGGCGAGCGCTGCCGTGCCAATAACGCTCGACAGCGCGTAACCCGTTAGCGTAGAGCGGGATGTCGACGTCGCGGACCCATTCACGATTGTTATTGACACAGTAGTCGATACCGTGTCTATGAACAGCGTGCTTGTGGACCCAGTTGATGGCGAGTCGAGGAGGAACGGGAGCAGAGCGACGTCCGACGAGGAACTGGTCGTGCAGAGCAGCGAGACCGGCCTTGAGCGAGCTCAGCTCATACGGCTTGATCTCGTTAAGAGCGCGTGCGACGCCGAGTTGGTTGAGAGAAAGGAAGTAGAGGATATCGTGGAGGTTCTGTGGCGAAAGGGAGAAGGCGTTCAAGATTGGGGTGCGTAGACGCCACGGACGATCGGCGATCGAGATCCTAGGCTGACCCGAAGCGATCGTGGAAGCCGGTTGGTCGACGGAACGCTGTGGTCGTCCGACAAGTCGTCCAGCCCGCAGGAACTCTTGACGCAAAACCGCGGCGTACGACGGCGGTGGCGTGTTCCTCCGGGGCGCCAGGACAACGTCGCCATCCATGGGGACGTCGGTATCGCTCCCATCGCGTGCTTGTACAGACGCGGAAGCGGAACGGTCAGCGAGGTTAGCCTGTCCGTCCGACGAAGCCATCTCCGAGACGGTGTCCGAAACGTTGAGGACTGGCGAGAGTTCGTGAGCACCTTGAACTCCATCATGTTGCTATTTCGACTCACCCTGTTCCAGTTGCCGGACGGGCACGTCGCCTGCGACGTATTCCGGCTTCAAGAGCAACGGGGTATCTTCATCGACCTCGCCGGGCTCGCCGTCGGACTCGGGTAGGGATGCGAGAGGCGGCATCGAGGAGAACGACATCAAGGAAGGGGCGGGCGAGTTGGGGCGAGTGAAAGGTGAGCGAACCTCGCGAACGACATCGTCCTGTATCGAAGTCGTGCTTGGGATCGTAGGCACGACGGAGGGACCAGTGGACGACGCGGCCGAGTTGATGGCCAGAACGAGGTTGTCGAGAAGAGGTGCAGACATGGCGAAGGAAGGGGGAAGCAGAGAGAAGATGTAGGGTGTATGGTGGTGAAGAACGAAGAGAGAAGGGTGAAGAACGAAGAGGAGAGGAGTGAAGAGGGGAGGAGCGAAGAGCGAAGAGAAGAGCGAGCGGTGTACTTCTGGTGAGACCAGGAGTGGGGATTGCAGTAAGTGCTCTCGTGTCTTTTATATCCTGTACACGCGTGACGGTTGAAATCCCGTAGGCGTGACCGTTGTGTCGCGTCCACTGGACGCATAGTCCTCTATTCCTCGACAGTGGAATCCGCTTGCCAATAACGATTAGCGCGGTGAGTCGGTTTCTGTGTTCATCTCCGTCTTCTTGCTATGTCTGTGTGGAGCACCCTTGTGCTGCCTTCGGAAATGAACGTACTAAACCGTGATTCGGTGCTTCGTCTCGTATTGTCGGACGAGACGAGATGCCCCGACAAGTAACTCGTCGCGAGTCAACCATTCTCGCTCATGCTCAGGCATTCCTACGAAGTTCACTAGATACCAGTGAACATCATTACCTGTCCGACGGTCGGCTCGCCGATCATGGTCAACTATCTGATCAATTTCATAGTGGTTATCCTCACCGTCTACCACTACTGGTGGTGGTATCGACCTCTTGCGCTTCGAAAACTCGTCTGGTGAGTCCACATACCTTTCGAGATATTCAGCATTTATAGCTTCGTGTATCTCGAACTGTGGTGGTAAATCCAGCACGTAGGAATTGTTGTTCAGCTTCTCCGTCACACGAAACGGACCAATCCATTTTGGCAGAAGCTTCCGTGTTTTACGCTTTTTCTGCCATGGAGGGTTCAAGTGCTTCGTCGAAAGCTTAACTAACTCGCCAACCTCGAAAATGATCTCACGCCGTTGGGAGTTAAAGTGTTTTGCTTGACTCTCCTGAGCCCTGCTGATTGCGTCTTCTGCAGAGCGAACCTGGGCGTGAACATGCTCAAGAAAATCGTCAATTGCGGGTAAATGATCACCGTCGTTGTCCGCGATGTTATGGACAAAACGGGGCGCGAATCCATAGTCCAATTCGAACGGACTGAACCCTGTCGAGGCGTTTACGCCCCGGTTGTATGCGATCTCCAGAATTGGCAGTAAGTCGATCCAATTTTTCTGGTCGTACTTGATGTAGTGACGAAGCATATCCTTCAGCACACGCACCATGCGTTCGGACTGACCGTCTGTCTGAGGATGGTTTGCAGTCGACATGGCCAGTTTTGTACCAAGACGCTTGAACAGTGTGCGCCAAAACCGTGAGGTAAACTTCGAGTCTCTGTCAGAAATTATCACTTCAGGTAAGCCGTGCAATCTTACGACCTCGCGGAAAAACGCTTGCGCTGTGTCCTCGGCCGTGTCCGACCTTTTAACAGGAATAAAGTGAGTGTGTTTTGTCAATTTATCCACCACAATCATGATCATATCGAGTCCGTTAGATGTCACCGCGAATGGACCTGCGAAGTCCATAGTGACGGTGTGCCATCTGCCCGGCGCGATCATGTGGGGCAGTAGCAAGCCAGCGGTCTTCTGATTCGATGACTTGTTGAGCTGACATGACTCGCATGAGCGAACATAAGAACGTACGTCTTTACTGAGTCGGGGCCAATAATACGTCCGACTAACTGCATTTAGTGTTCTGTCAGCACCTGCATGGCCCGAAACTTCGGCATCGTGGAAATCGTGAAGGATGTCGAGTCGCAGATCTCTGTGTTTCGGTATGCACAAAACACGACCCTTCCCGGAAGAGTGCCGACGGAATAACAACCCATCTTCAACTTCATAGTGTTGAAGGTGAGCCCGTGGCTTGTCCTGTTCAAACAATTCTAATATAGGCGCAAAGTACTCGTCCTGTAGGTATCCCTCCTGGATCTCCTTCAGAAATGCCGGCTTTGGTGCTAACGTAGTAGCTGTCAATATCTCGGCGTCCGCCTGAGGTGCGGATCCCGGTATTGGCGCGCGCGAGAGCGCGTCAACATTCGAGTGTGTACGTCCCGGTCGATGTTCAATCTTGGCCGAGTGTTGGTACGGGAGTAATTCCAGTGACCATCTTTTAAGGCGACTATTAGTACCTTTGTAGTTCCATATCCATTGTAATGCTATGTGATCTGTCACGATCTTAAGCTCTGATGTTCCATCTATGTATGGATGAAATTTGCGTAAAGCCCAGACCACTGCCAAACACTCCAACTCTGTCGCGCTGTAGCCTTCTTCAGCCGCGGACAATTGCCGGGAGATGGCAGCGACCATGTGCTCCTTGCCGTCCGCGCCAATTTGTGCTAATACGCCCCCAATGCCGATTTTCGACCCGTCTGTGTAAATTAGGAATGGTCGCTCATAGTTGGGGTGAGCCAATATAGGTTCTTCTGCCAGTCGGCCCCGAAGAGTTTCAAAGGCTTCTTGACATAGGGCTGACCATACAAACGGGGCTTCCTTTGACAGGAGAGCCGTCAGCGGGCGTGCAATTTTGGCGTAGTCGCGAATGAAGCGTCTATAGTACCCAGTCATGCCCAAGAAGATCTGCACTTCCTTGACCGTTTTAGGGGCCGGAAATTGAAGGATTGCACGTACATTTTCTTCCTTCATGCCGATGCCTAGACGACTGACGTGATGTCCCAAGGCATGTATTTCTTGATAACATACATGAGACTTAGGCAACGAGAGAGTGAAACCGGACGCTCGAATTCGGTCCAGTACCTGCTCAAGATGCTTGAGGTGATGCTCGAAATCGGCAGAATAAACAACTATGTCATCAATATAAACTACAGCAAATTTCCACTTAATCTTCCCTAAGACTTTGTCCATAGCCCGTTGGAAGATTGACGGTCCGTTCCGTATGCCAAACGGCATTCGTTTGTATTGGTACAGACCTTGATGAGTGCGAAACGCGGTCTTCTCGCGATCCGCCTCGTCGGGAATACCTATCTGGTGAAAGCCAGAGTTAGCGTCGAAGGTGGAGAAGAAGCGTTTGCCTTCGAACTGATTGAGGTAGTCGTCAATCCGTGGAAGCGGATATTGATCTGGCTTCGTTACTGCGTTCAGCTTTCGAAAGTCGATGCAGAATCTGACCTTGTCCTTTTGTGCAATGAGCACGACATTCGACGCCCAAGGCGACTCCGATTCTTCGATAACATTATCTGCGAGAAGCTTGGCCACAGTTTCTTCGATGATCTGCCGTCCTTTAGGAGATGCGTGATACGGAGCTGTCGAGATTGGAGGGGAGTCACCTGTTTCAAGCCGAACTTCACCCACTGTAGTGTTGCCCAACTTCCGTGATCCGTATGCGAACGCGTGTCGATGCCGAGTCAAGACTTCGAGGACCTGTTCCCGCTCTTTGGGAGTCAGGCTCGGGTTCAGATCTATATCAGTTAGTGCTCGGCGAAACTCCTGTAGGTCATTCTTATCAGCTATACTGACAGTGTTGGACTCGCTCATTCGAGGCGTCTTGCTGACGTCTACTAACGGATGAACAGTGCCGAGGATATCTCCGATGTACAGCGTCATCGGAAATGGCTCCATATTGACAACCTGTACATGATGTTGAGGCGAAGAAGACTTACCTATACTTTTCGCTGCCGAGATTGCCTTGAATCCATCTTTCAAGGGTTCTGGTTCTAGGTAGTATAGCGGTGCTGGGATCGGTCCTATTATTCTTGCAGGGATCTGGGCAGAGTGGAATGCTCTCACCGTGAACGTCTCTGCAACTCGCATCGTCGTTATTTGCTGTTTACGGCAGACCATACTAATAATTATATTCTTCCCGCCCTCGGCACGGAGGGCCAGCTGCTGGTTTTGCAGGTTAACGACTGCATTGTAGAAATCCAAAAAGTCGTTACCTAGTATGATTCGAGAGTCCTGAGCAGGATTCATGTACAGCTTCGTGGGGAGAATATGGTTCTGTCCCTTTAGATCCGTAAAAGTGAGATTGAGAGAGACGTACGAAGTGATAAAGCTGTTACCGGAAACGCCATGTAGTTCTATAAGCGGGCATTGTTGTCTCACTGCCTGCGGTAGAAACTTCTGGAGTATCGAACGATCAATCAGCGATATTGACGATCCTGTGTCTACCAGAGCCCGAAAAGCCCGGTCAGAGTTAGACCCATCGATCGCAACCTGTATAAAAGCTGGTGTCTTACTCATAAACGCGGAAGCGTCCGGCCCTGTGTCTTCATTTCCGCTTACGACTTCTGGAAGAGTTTGTTTATGAGTCGTCTTCTTCTGATCTGATAAGGTGCGCTTTGTCGGCGGCTTCTTCTTCAGGACTCTCCTTTTGGGAGTAGTGCCTTGTATAGGAATACTAGTCTTGAGCGACTGACCTGCTGAGGAATCCGTGACATCGCGAACCATTCGTCGAGTCATGATGGTGTTTGTATCGGCCACTAGGTACGCATTTGCCGAAAGGCTCGTAGCGTCCCCTTCTTCCTCTGAATCATACTGATCGTATGATGTTTCTGCTTCGTCTTCTGGTTGCTCGTCTTCGGTGAGTGCCAGTTCTTCAGTGTCTCTTCCATCAGACTCCTTGGGTTCCGCTGTGTTAGTCTTCGCACGCCAGTTCTGGTTCGGTTTCGAGTTTATTGGCGTGTTCCGCTTCCACTGGTTTTGATTCGAATTTGTTGTATTTTGGCTGAACCCGGTACGAGGAGTTGGTCTCTGACTGTTACTATCAGATGGGTTAGACGGTCGATACCCAGAGGTAGGGTTATGATTCGTGCCTTTCGATTGAGACGTACTGGTATTGTTATTGGACCAGTCGCGATCGCGATTCTGCCATCGTGGTTGGTTTGTATTCCCGTTGTTTGCATTGTTCTGGGAGTAGTTACCCCCTCTTGAAGGCTGGTTCCTTGGTCTCCAAGGACCTGAAGAGGCCGAGCCATTGGCATAGCTAGGAGCGTTACTCGGAGGGTTAGATCGGAACTGTCCATATTGTGATAAAAGGCCCAATTCCATATCCATCACGTACCGTTTGAAATCGGCCAGAGCAATCGTCGGGTTAGCGTTGTACCCCGTGCCTGCTTTGATTAGTGCGTGCATACTCGCCGGTATGCCGAGCAGGAGGTCGCTGATCAGAGTCTGGGAGCTTGCAGATTCTCCTAGAACGGCATTCTGCAATTTCCGCCGGTCAGTAAAGTATTGTGAAAATGTTTCACCCTTATGCCACCGGCGCATGCGGAGCTGTTCAGCCATATTGACGTCATAATTAGCCTTCCTGAATTCGCGACGTAAGATCGCTTGCCAGTCCGTCCAATTCATCAGGTTCGCCAAGTCGGGTTGTGACAGGGTATTGAACCATTTGAACGCTGGACCGCGTAGTATGAGAGGCAGACAACGCAGAATCACGGTGTCCTCTACGCCGGTGTATCGTACAATGTTAGAGATCTGACTAATCCAGTCATCTACGTCGTCGCCGTCGTTTCCGAAAAATTTCGGCAGATCACTATGTTTCAGCTTATTTTTCTCAGTGTGCGAGCTACTCGCACCTGATAACGCTGTGTACGGTGCTGTGGGTGCATACGAGTAGGGTACAAACCCCGAGGGTATTGACTGAGGTGTAGTATGCATTCCTGATGTCGGTACATGAGCTGCTAGCGGTATACCACCGGCTAACGCGCCAGAGATCGAGGACGGGAACGGTGCCGATGGCCCGTGCCGTGTCGGTTGTGGAAGTGGCGGTGATGGAGGCGGCGGCGGCTGTTGTGGGCGAGACTGCTGGAAGTGGGGTGGCTGTTGGTAAGTCGGGGTGTGCGCGGATAGTGGTGAGTCGGCAGTAAGAGGCGATGCGAACGAGACGTGCGGCGTCCGCAGCGTCTGTGGTACCTGCGATTGTACGTGGGATTGCTGTATCGCTGATAGTAGTTCAGAACGTACCAGTGCAACTGCTTCTGTCAAGTCATCACGCAACTCGGACATGCATGCGCTGATCTCCTGGGCCATCGTGGGCCGTGTTGGGAGGTTGACGCAGATGTCTGACAACCTGTAGATATCGCGTCTGATGACATCTGTGTTCTCAGTACAGTTGCACTTACAGAGACATCCCGGCGCCTCCTGCGCTAAATCGGCTTGCATCCCTGCATAGCCTGGCCGAGGCGAAGACGAGATGCACCCTGTATCTCGCGCAGTCGCGGGGTTCGTGGCTGATACGTCGGCCGCATCACCCGTGTGCGAGGTAGTGTGTCGATGGGACGAGCGAGAGTTGCCGTTGTCCCGTAGGTCGTCTACGGTATGCTGTATGTCGTCCAGGCGGCAGCGTAACTCGTGGTGGTCGGACCCGAGTTCTTCGAGTGGCGAGTCTCGGTGTCGAGCGCGCGCTGAATGTGTTCGGCGATTGACGAGTGGTGCTGTGCCACCTGGTCAGCAAGGACTCCAGTTGTGAGAGGATGGCGTGAGTGTTCTTAAAAACGTACGCGATGTCGCGTTTAGTCGCAGTAGCTATCTCGTTGAAGACATTTGTTGTCTCCAAAGCGAGGCGTTGTCCACCAACCAAGTGGTGTAGAGTGTCGCGTAACGACGCGTCCGCGGGAAGATGGCGTTGGTCGTGCACAAAGGCGGGCGAAGGTAGCCGTGCGGCGCGGTCAGAGGACGAAATACTCACCGAGGAGATGTTGGCGTCCAGCGACGAGGGAGTGACTGAATCGTCAGACGTCCGCTGGTCAGTTTGGGTGTATGCGTCAACCATCTCAGGGAGCTCGTCGTCGGACCCGAGAGAGGATGCGTGTGGCGCGTTCTGGGGTCGTGTGCTGTGTGGGCCGGATCGGAGTGAGGGTGCGATCTGGCCTTGGGCAGTGGAGGCAGAGTCTAGGGAAGACATGCCAGTTGCGAAAAAAGGGGGGAGTCGAAGAGGTTTGTTGAAAGGGTAGCGTGAGGGGTGTGTGGCGGCCGCGGGGTGAGTGGGTACACCTGGGTACTTGAGCACAGAGCGTCAAGTAGGGTACTGTCGGGGACAGCGGAGTCGACGTCGGAAGGGGGAAAGAGTGTGATTTGAGGAGACTGAATGTCCACCAAATTGTAACAAGACGGGTTACCGGACTTGCTACTGGGAGGGGTTCGGTCACTCAAGGTACGCTCACGTGACGGGTGATCAGTCCGTCTGGTTAGGTTCGGTAGAACGGGTGTGTATTACCAACTACGTTAACGTAACGAGAGGTAGTACAAGGGAAGCGCGCGAGAGAGGTAGAGAGAGAGAGAGTAGAGAGAGGAGAGAGGGAGAGACGTTTGGCCAGCAAAGCGTGTCGTCTCTCGAGAACTCTGTGGCCTTATATAACATTAGAGAATCACCTTAACGCTCGGCACAGCCTTTTGCGAGGCGATGTTCGTAGTTGCTGGATAGCTAGTGTAAGTTCCAGTGAGTTCTGCACAGTTCGAGATGAATGCAGAAGATGCATTCACGTGCGCAGTATTATACATGATGAGTCGTTACACAAAGCACGCGGACTGGCTGGGTTTTGCGCGCCGGTATGGAATGCTTCACGACAGCGCTTACCGCAGAAATCATGTACTATAGTATAGAGAAGGTGAGATCGATAAGAGTTCGGCACCGACTACGAGACTGCCCACGTACCGCGGTTGCCCTCGACATATGCTGGTCGAGACTCGCAGTTCTTTCCTATTGCGTCGAACATCATATCCAATGGGATCAGAAAATATACGCACCTTGCAGAGTCTGGCACCGTTGAGCTGCTTCATAGCATCTCTATGGGTCGTACCACAAAACGAGGAGTATGACCCATCGGGATCCTGCCACACATTTTGGCGGCAGTTCGGATACTCGCACACTGTGCGCTGCGTGCGCGACGTGTCGGAACACATGCTTCAGCTCTCTGCGTCGCGGTATGGTCGTGGTCAGAGAACAACTCGTGAGTGCGAAGCAAGGGGTGGTACAGGGTCGTACAGTACTGATAGTACGCGACGGACAATGAAACGATAAGTACGGCTTACATGTACGGAAGAAGCGACCCAAATATGGCAAGTGCCTTAACCGCCGCTGGGAATCCACTGGAACGACTCGGACCATGCCCTGCGCGCAATACGCCGTTACTTACTTTACGCCTTCATTTCTGCAACGTCACCGCGCTCTGCTTCATCGGTAGGCTATTCAGAATGCAATACAACGTTGCTACTTTGAGACGAGCACAGTACCGGGCTGGATAAATGATACCTGAACAAGCCACCATCAGGTGGTCAAACCGTATTGGGCACCGTGGTTTTGACATGGTGCGTCCTATTTGCGTCTTTCGACCTTTCCCACTTTCATTGAATAATCCCTTCTCAAGCGTCAACGTTCACCATCGACGTCCTCCAGACGAAGTTTGTCGCTGTCGCCATACTACGTAGACATGAGTCGGCCGCCCACCCACCACTACATTACTCGGACGTCAGCCGCGCGTCCTACTCCTGCCTATCGCAGTTTTGCGTCGGTACCATATCCGACTGCTACTCAGGACAATCGGCCACCAGCGTCCGAGTCGCATCATGGTCGTCGCAATGGCCGATCAATGTCGATCTCTGATCCGCAGAGGCATCGAAACGAATCGTTAGCGATACGCATGGACACGCAAGAGCCTGTTGAGCGAGGTGCGTCTATTACTCAGAGTGCGCAGGTTGATAGTCAAGTACGGCGGCCACCCAGTCGTTCCTCCGAGGCCAAGTGAACGCACCCCTCGCTCTCGTTCGTACTCTCAGCCACCGCCTGCCCCACGCACGGAGCCCGCACCTGCAATACGCTTCTATCACCGCGATGAGCCTTATTATGAGTGTGCATTCCAAATGCTTCGGCTATCTTAGCGTAGTAAACGTTGTCAGGTTCACCAACTTCGCGCCGTATGCCATACACTGGGATGGTCGCATGTATCCAACCGCAGAGCACCGTGCGTCCACGTCTGTTTCGCCGTTGATCCACATTTTCACTCATAACACTCAGTGTTCCAGGCACACAAGTTCATGCCGCACCGACCAGACCTGGCGGAGCGTATCCGCTGCCTCCCCAGCTCCCGCGCAGCACTCCAAGAGGCAGGGAACCTGCGCCAATTGCAGCGTACAGACTGGTTCGAGGTCAACGTCCGCGTAATGGACGACGTCCTCGAGGCCAAGGTCTCCCAGCATTTCTCGCTTCGCGACATGCTTCTCCAAACGGGCACCAGCGAGCTCGTTGAGGACAGCCCGGTACGGATGGGCGCTCGCAAATCATTGCCACTGTGCAGACGCTGACCGCCTCGACAGGTCGATTCGTTTTGGGGATGTGGCCAGGATGGCCTAGGAAGGAACGAGCTGGGCAAGGCGCTGATGCGGCTGCGTGACAAGCTCAGAGCTCGTCCAGGGTCAGCAGGTGGTCGATTCGTGTGGGCGTCTCCCCCGCTGGAACCAGCGACTCGCTCGGAAGGCCAACTGCCCCCCTCTGGACCGACGGGCTCACAGCAGAGCCGCGGAAGGGCGTCTGTGCGACCGTCACCTGTATCCGCGAAAAAACAGGAAGGAAGAAGGCTGCGACGGCGCACGGGAGACGTTGAAATCCAGTCTACTGGGGCGCCCGTCAATGAAGAGGTGGTACGCACGACTGAGGTAAGTATGAGAAAGGTCGGACGCCGCGATGTCTCAACTCAGCAATGACGGTCTGAGTTCTTCTCTGACGACTACATGTTAGGACCGGCCGTCCTGGAGAACCCCGGAGATGCCGATGGGAGGGGGGTGGAGTAGTTCCCATCGTTTGTGACGCCGTGGGCGTTCAAACATTCATCGTCGACATTTGTGATTCAGACTGCCTAGAGTTTCCGAGACAGGAGAGAAATGTGACGAAGGGTTGGATTCGTTGTATGAGTATATTCTCCACGTATGATAACTGAGCTTCGAATAGTCTGGATGTACAACATGTCTATGTACGTCGGAGCCTGTGTCGTGTACGTCCATATATGCGTGTAGTTTCATTCGAGATCTTACTCGGACGCAGAGTCCCAGCTAGTGACGACTCAATCATTGCGATTGTAGGACCCTGATCAGAGGATATGCGGTCATGATGAGAACACAGCGCACGTCAAGGCGCACGTACCAAGTACTAGATTAGCCGTACAGACCTCAATGGTCGTGCCGTAGTTTGTCGCGCAGTCGCATGAGTGCATTGCCGAGTTCATTCCTTCCTTGCCTATCACGGCCCCACCCCCAGAACGAATCGACCTGCAGGAAGGCTGAACACCTGCACAACGCATAACGAACAAGGGCCATACCGGACTGTCCTCGACGAGTTCGCTGTTGCCGGTCCCGAGAAGCATGTCCCTCAATGTCGGATGCTGCGTGAACTTCGCCTCGAGAATTGCATCCATGACGCTGATATTGACGTTGAACCAGTCTGTGCGCTGCAGCCTGCGAAGACGCCCCGCCTCCTCGAGTGCAGCACGGGGGCTGGGGAGGAGGCGGATTCGCTCGGCCAGCTCTGGTCTGGTCGTCATGAATTTGTGTGCTTGAAACACTGGGTTTGATCATGTATAAGACCTCAAGGACGGTTACAGGCAGCCGCAAGATACGTACAGTGTTCTGCGGTTGGGTATGTATGGCCATCCCAGTCAACGGCATACGATGCGAAGTTCGTGAACCTGCCAGTAATGACGTGGAGAAGACATGTCGATTTATTAACATCAGTAGGCCAAGGTAGCAAGAACACTTGAGTACGCACTCAAAGTATGGGCGGTCGCGGTGGTAGAAGAGAATTGGATCTTGTGGTTGATCTGGATCTGCTGCAGTGGCGGGGAGGAGGAGCGCCCGCGCGACCACTTCGACATCACCTTCCACGTACACCTTGATCCAGTGCTACATGCTTACCTGGCTGCTTTGCTTCGTCGACATCCGCAGGGCTGTACGACCTCAGCTCCGTCTGGTGCACCTGTGGTCCTGAAGCCGACGTTTCGTGACTGCCTCGGCGATGCGATTGTTGACTCTGTCGACCTAGGCCTCGACATGTTACTCGCTGAAACAAAGAGCAAAACCAGTCGAGCAAAGACATGGCTGCGAACAGTCTTGCTACAATGTCGAATGACCGGTATTCATGTCTGCGCCAAGTCGACGCATTCTACTGCGCACGCATGCAGAACATGAGTCGAGCCTGCCGGTATTCGTGCTGCTACCGGAACATGTGGCACTGGCAGGAACTGAGTGAGTCGTGTTCCCCATGCATTGGTGCGTCATCACCTAGGGTTCTTATGGTCAACAGCGGTTGACTCTGCGATCAGAAAGTCATCAATTCAGTATCTGGTAGCGAAGAACTACCGCGATACGTGGGCAATTGTACAATTCTGGAGTAGTCCCGTATCAGCACACAATGGAAATTCGACCTACGATACTCGTAACCTAGCGGTATGCAACCGCTCTGATCCTTGGCCAGCTTCTGAATAACCTTCGGCTCGGAACAGGTGGGTGAGGTAGCCACTTTACTCGACCCACATTTCCGCAATCTATCGAACCTAAACTCTATGGCTGCCTTCTCCCATGCGTTGCTCAATGGTTCTGCAAGCATTCATGCGTCTTGACCACCAACGGTCTCCGTCGCAGCACGGGTTTTTGAAGTCTTGCAGATCAAAGTGAGGTTTACGGCGTGGGCGTGGACATATTGGGGACGCGTTATGATCGATGGATCGCCCACGCCTATTGTGGTACCATTCTTACGGGGCGATGAGACACTCAATGGTGCGCGGAGGAACCTGGCGAACGTCGTGAGGTGTAAGTTCATCTGCCCTTGTCTCCTTGTGTCCAGTGCATGCATCTGATGATGTAAACCAGTGCGGGGATCATACTGGTATACATCGAGACCAAACCATGGGAGTCTGAGTTTAATGCTGAGCGAGTCGATCGTGTCTTCTAGGGCCATGGTCTCTGCGGAAAGCACGGTCGCAACGCGTTCCAAGCAGAGAACTCGAGGACTCCGGGAAGTCATGGCTATGATGTCAGTATTCCGATTTGCATCGCCACCTTGTAAGCTCCGTCTCGCATCACGAAAGCCGCGCTCACCGCTGACACCTGCTTCTAATACCGCGGCCT